GTTTATCGCTAGCGGGGCAACAATCAGGCGATAAGCAACTAAATTTGGCTACATTCCATCACAATTGGGCAAAAATGGGAAGCAAAGAGCGGTTAACGACCTCGAGACGATACTCGCCACGGTCATCATTGTATCAAAGCTTTCAAAAACCATATCTATTTGTCGAATCATCTACTAGGTGTAGATATTCATGCATGTAATGGTATCTTTTGAAGTTAGAGACGTAGAAGAGGAACCATGATGCTTTTTGCTATATATCTAATTCTCCCCCATCCAAGTTTTGATGGAGAACGAGGTACATATTGTAGGTGAAGTATTTCACCAAGAGATAGCAAAATGAAGCTCACCGAATAGAAAATCCTCACTCTACTCAAGACTCATTCACCTTCCTAATCCACTTTTGATCCTTGATACTTTGATAACCCCACAAGATTACACACCGATATCCGAACCGATGGCGTTACCACAGGTCAGTCAGGTACAAGCAACTTTACGAATGCTAACTTTTCAGTACCTGCTTTTTATCTTCTAAGCCTACTCTATTTTGAGATTTAATCTACGAAACATTTTCATTCCTTGGAAGTTGGAATCTAGAGTCTAAACTTTCTTCTTCTTCTCCTTGTCCCGGGAAATTTCCCTCACCATCCGAAAGAATAAATCTATGTATGTAAGACTTACCACAAATGCACGACGCAATACGCACAATCAAAGAAACCCCCGACGGGTCAAATTCCCACTCACTCAACGGACATCCACTCAATCAAAATCCTGACGCCATCATCATCAAGATGTGAAACACAGTCTCGACTCTTGCCTCTCGAGTCCCTGCATCAACCAACGGATGACATGATTGACTTTGACAACAAGTACCAAATCGGATAACTACTCTAGTACTCGGTCTATAAGTCTTATATGCAAGACACTACTTCCGTAAGATCAAACGTTGTGTCGCTTGAGATGTGGATACTTGCCACGTCTGCCGATGCTCGAAGATTCTGACCGGGCAATCATGAATGGATAAATGAACGAGAGTGAGTCGTTGGGCGAAAGAGTATGCAAACTTCATCTGAAGATTCATGCGATCAAGAGAAATGTTTGGTTTGATGGCGGTACAAGTGTACTTGTATTTATTTTGTACAGCGTATTTCGTATCGACTCAGTCAACGTGGCTCTGACATGTGGTTCTTCAAACCGAAGTACGAAAGGCCAAAGTACTGAGATGAAGAAGCAGTCTCGACATAATTCCTATGTTCATGTTCATGCATCTTTCATCCAATTCCTGTTCTCATGATAGTCAAAAAGATGCCCATCTCCTGTTCTGTTTCACGCTTTTTTTGCCCTTTTCTCTTGGGTCACAACGAAGGCTAACATTAAAATCCTGTTCGTCTGAAAATTCCACATCAGCTCTCTCCAAATCATGTAAAATGAATAATGCAAATGCTTTGAGGAACATATGAAACTATCGCAGTCAAATCTTCAAAGCTCTTGGGGAACATATGCATGCATTAATTGATGAAGGAGAGCAATTTTGATTTTCCGTCTTGATTCAAGTCTCGAATTGCAAAGTATCATTTATGTCATGATACATTCCTGTATCCATTCTCTTCAATCATTGCTTCATTTTGAGTATCAGATACGAAAACTTCCTCGATAGATCTCTCAGTTTTGAGATTTCGAGAAGTGAAGTCGAGATAATCTTTTGACTAAAGGTTATTTCTACGCTAAGTTTAGTTAGGGTTAGGAGCTGCTAAGGGAAACTGCCCCTCTCGCTCATTCTTTCTTCATTAAAAGCATATACGCAAAGCCTTACATGTTCTAAAGATTCTTGGCTTAGATCTCAGTCATTTCAATCGTACTAGATTTGTTCCTTTGATTACATAGTATCTTGACATTTAGATCTTTCATAGCATAATTCACAAGAATAAGAAAAATATCGAGTAAAGCTACTCAGGTACAAGATCCTTCCATCCCTCGAAAACACCCAATAACCTTTTCCGTCGCTTCATGCCTTCCCATACATCTTTCTCAGGGGTAAATCGACATATAACACCAATCTCCTGCTCTAATCAATGATTTGGCATCATCTATTCTTCAAGTCCATGAAGTCAATGAGCACTACCGATACTTAAATGCCCACAGTGGACTCATTTAATGTACTTGTGTTCCTTCCTGTGTAGATCGATGGTCTAAGTGGTCCAGTATCTACCTTCCATAGACTCAATGTCGATAGTATATTCCGGCAAACGGTGTAATTCCTGCTTTCAAATCAAGTTATCCAGTTGATTCTTTCAATCATTTCGAGAGCTCCGTGCTTGAATTTGTCCCGAGAATTCAAGGTACCTAAGAAATAGCACTGAGCAAAGATTCGGTAGCCACGCTAAGATGAGTGTCAAATTTATTGCTTCTGTTGATAACCACCAGACTTTCAAAATATCAAAGCATCAATAGTTCCCATTGCAAAATTTAATAAGTGCTATTCTTCTGTCAAATTTACATGTTCCAAAATCAAATAACCACATTTAATATACGTTTACTCCCGTACAACCCACCCAAATTGATAGTAGAAATAGTCTAACCTTAGTCTAACCTTCTAACTTTCTTTTGCAAACAAAACAAACACAATCACAACTACAATCTCATTCTATTTCTTCAACTCTCCTTTGCTTGTCTAGTGTCGAAAGCAAGATATGACATATATTCATTCTCACGCTCACTATACTCGATATTTATATCAATCAACACACTCTCAAATTTAACATACCAAGTTACAAAAGCAGAACGTCCAACTGGGTAAATGCCTTGTGATGAGGATAGACTTGAGCTCCCCGGTTCGAGAATATGTCAGAAGTACTGAGATTGTTGAGCAGGGGGGATTAGAAAGGGCACCCTTTGTCGAAGCATATGAGTTCGATCATCTGGTTTTAAAGATCATGTTATGAGAACAAAAGATTCTATACAATGCTGGTTAGCTGGAGCAGAATACCGTATTCATTTGGTAAATTGGGTTGCACTCGTTAAGCAGTGATTGGACAAATCAGACAGCTCTAGTGTTTTTCCGTAACCTAATCCATCTATATGAGCCTTGGTTTTTCAATCCCTGCTCAGCGCGACCCGATTTACCAAGTGAATACGGTAGCTCTGTAGCTTTTATATCAGCCAAAATGTATACTCGTGCTGCCAGAAAGCATGCAACACTCCACCTAGATATGGGCCACCAATCATCTTGTATTTTACCACCCCATGGGATATGTCTGTGAATGTAGTGTGGCATACTTTCTGGCCGCACGAGTAAGAGAAAATACATTACACCAATCTTTGCTCAGGTTCCGTCTTAACATGAATCATGTAATTCCGCTAGCGCTAGTGCCCTTGAATAGACTATACTTCATGCTCTCAAAGCTTTTAGATCATTATCAATATGAAGCATTAGGAATAGGAAAGCTCACTCATGCTATGCTGATCGTCCTCCATTCGCGACAATACCAATAGGGGTTTCTAGCTAAAGGCTTTAACGATCACGCAGGCGCAGACTGTTGCGTTTTTGATACATTCCCCGTGGAGATCACTGACGCCCGCAGTTGCCGAAGAACCAATACAAGCCAGGCGTCGGTTTGTTGGGCATCCATACTTGCGTTCAGTTCGGCCCTGGGGCTAATTGATGGGGAAAGCTATGTGGGAAGTTGCGTAAAGAGAAAGAGCTGCATTAGCGTATAGTATGTACAGTTAAACTATGCCATACCGGACTGAAAAATTAAACCAATCAAATCCGGTACAAAAAAAGGTGGTCCAAGCGTTTGGCGAAATTCATGCTGGATTGACTATTCGCAGGAGAAAAAACAGGCGGGATTCGACCACTTCTACGATATAATATCATTCAATTACTTTCCTCCAATATTATATAAAATAAAATTTCGAAATATCACCTAAACAATAAAGAACTAAATATTCTTTTAATCTTTTTAAATTTATATAAATCATTTCAAAATGATTTATTATTCAATTAAATTAGAAGATTTTAACAAAGATTTAAATTATCAAATTCCGCCTGTTTTTTCTCCTACGAATAGATTGAATGAGTTCATAAAAAAAATCATGTGACATCAGCCAATCAAGCTTATTCGGCCAAATTCACCACCAAAATTATACCGGAGTCGTGAAAAAACAGTCCGGTATTCCGGTTTTGATCGAAATTCCGGTATTCACATATAAATTTCGGGAAAAAATGAGAAAAAAATCCGGTATATCCCAGTCCGGTATGGCTAAGTTTTATTGTATATATATTTCGGTGCTGTGCATGATGCTAAAAGCAGACGACATATCTGCCTCCTAGCTATCTTCTTGTGAGACAATAATATGAAAGGGACACAATGACGATAATGGGACAGTACATCGGGGAGATCTTTCCATGGAACTTTGTCTATCATTGCTTGAGCTTACACCTTCTTGTAAGTTGATTAACCAAAACTGCGGAGAAGTTGTCGTGGGCCTTGGCGTTGATGCAAATTCCCGATATTCGCAACTCCAGTTGATCACAACTATATGCTTGCTTATTAGCTGATTCGGGAATTGTCAGACTATACGCTGGCGACAAGTTGCATCTTTGTACAGCGCAGTGTGTACATATTTACCCCACTGTATCACGAGCCTATCTGGCAAGCTTCTTATAGGTGTACTGTTGCATCCGACTGGTTGGGTTTGAACCTTGTGAGTCAAGTTCTGTTCTTATTAGTATCTAGGTACTTCCCGATCCAACTTACTGTCTTTGCGATAGTAACACACATTCATCAGTCATGTTCATAGCCAAAACATTTTTTAGTTTAGAGATGCAACATCAACGTAGTGTGTTTCAAATGGAGTTGGATTCTATAAGAGCTGGTTGCACGCTCTTGTTAATTATCTCTTTTCCTTCCAGATCTCCTTCTATCTATCTTTAGTTATCAACAACAATTGTTCTTCTATTCCATCTCTCAACATATCAGCCATCCAAGTTTTGCAGAAAAATGGACAGCACAATTGATTCTCAGCATGAGGACCTCCTCCCAATATGCACAACAGTTGGTTATACCGTGAATTTGCTCCCCCAAGGTAATTTCTATTGCATATTCGCAAGAACTGTACTAAAGCTTAATCGAAATAGGTGTTGATCCCTTTGATTTGTCTACAACACTTGAGTCGGATCATAAATACAATTTCTTGAAATAAGCCGACCCGGGGGAGGAAATTACAGTTCCAGGATCGTCGACGAAGTATTGGCTTCCTGAAAATTTCGAGAAACACGAGACGGGATCAAAGACAGTGAATCACAGTCTTATTTGTCGGACTGGAACAGAACTTGCCAATGAATTGCAAGTCAATTCAAAAGTTTCTGCTAATTATTTCGGATTCTCCGCCGAAGCTAGCGCGGGGTACGAATATAGCACAAATTTTAAAAGTACAAGCTTGTATGGAATATACAGTCTCGACCAGAAGAATTACTCTATCAATGTAACCAACAAGCAGACGATATACGATTCAGTGGAAGATGAGTTCATTGACGCAGCCGCTAAGCTCCCAGCTTGGAAGACAATATCTAAGGATCTCAAAGATTTCGATGAAGTGACCAGCATCTACAATTCGTATGCCAAATTCTATTCTAGATACGGATCTCATTTGATACAAGAAGCGTATATGGGTACCAGCTTAAAGTGGAACAGAACGAATTAACGGAAGAAGATGAAGAGAAATTCTCAACAAACGTGAAAGCGGAGTATCAAGGTGCAATCGGAGTTTCCGTCAGCGTTGATGCCAAATATACGGAGTCGTATAAACATTATACATCACAACGACAAAGTGATTGCAACGTTCTTGGAGGAGATGCTGGAAAGGCTGGCACGCTTGCCCATCTATCGCCAGATGACGCGGATGCATATAATGCAGCGTTCAAGGAGTGGCAAGAGAGTCGCGAAGAAGGCTCTACAGATGCTCTCTTGCACATACGCGTCGTGGAAATTGGAAACTTCCTGAAAGACAGCTATGTGAAAAGTCAATTGGCAGTTGCTGATCGTCTTTCCTCTGCCTGGTCTTATTTTAAGGATTTTTATACCTTCCAGGGACAATTGGTTGCTGATGGCATATCCAAGGGCGATGTCGTCAAATTGGAGATTACGCCTCTGCCCGGACTGGAGATCCGTTTTACTAAAAATGACGCTTTAACAGTAACTCAGACGAAAGCAAACAGTGTTGAAGTTACATGCGATAATCATTATCATGGGGAGTACCTTGACGTAACCATAGTTGCTCCCGATAGGCCGGTTCAGCTTCTGCTTAGCAAAATTGCAGGAAACCCTAGCCTCGTTATGATTTTGCTTCAATTAAACCAATGTGGGCCCGACGACTTCCGAACGATTTACGACAGGTCTGATGCAAGACAAAATGCGAGTAGTTTCAGAGATCCACATGAATCATGGTACCAAAGCAGGAAAGTTGTGAACTAGTGAGCTGTGGACGAATTCGGATTATTCAATGAGGTTCCAGTTCTCCGTAGGAGGGATCAAGTTTAGGAACTGATATTTTGGATTAGTATTTACACGAGATTCACAAATGTCTCTCACAGTTCAACACTAGTGTATCTATCTATGTATTCAATACAGGTTTCAGTTATAGTAATTTCCAATATGATTTCATGATTGGAGAATCTTTCAACCCCCAAATCTTCGATTGCACTGCTTGCGTCTGTTGCTAGCGAAACACAAACTCACAGCCAAGAGAAGGTTTATTCACTAACCATAATTGTAATAATGGGAGGAGTTTCGACTCAATAAATGACTAAAAATCTCCAATTTTGAGGGATAAGGCATCTCTCTATTCATCAGCGGGTGAATGGACATGATCTGATTTCGATTTCTTAGTCATCCGTGAACAAATTCAATTTCATGCCAAATATATGCTAAATATAGACGCTGCTATTTGTTGCTCCGCGATGGGCTTCAGAGTCTAGCATCCAGAGACCGACGCATATGAATACCTGTTCCTCCAACGCAGCGTTGATATACGGTGCAGCGGGTAAATCGCAGGGCCCATTTCAACGATCGAGACAGTGGCTAAGAATAGAGCCTTGCCGTCGAGTTTTCCGAAGAGCTTTCTCCTTCGGAAAATTACATTAGTGGATCAGAATGCTCCCTTCTAAGAACATGTTACAAACATATCAGATAAGATCTAGAGCCACAGATGTGGTCTGGTATGCCTACTGCCGAGACCCAAGGTAGTTTCTCAATGTGTTCCAAATCCTTGGCGATAGCAGGCTGGATTGTCGCAACGATAGTTGTCGGGATATCGATCATGTGATCTAAAGAGGGCACTGTATTTCACTAGCGTATGCACTAGCGCTAGCGCTAGCGCTAGCACTTCTACTATATTAAATACTAGCTTCCCATAGTTAATAATGATCAAGAACGAATACAACCATAATAGACTAAAGTACTTTACACTTATCAACCAAGTTGATACCAACAATAGTATTGTCAAGAGCATACTGGAAGACTGAGGAATAGATGGAGAGAAAATAAATGATCCACTTGATGGCTTTCAAACCTCGGGCTGCATTCTCAGCACTAAAGTCTTGATCCGTAGGCCAGTGTACTGTTTCGTCATTTTCTTTCGGGTTCTAAACGGATTTCATGACTATTGGAAGTGATGCTTGGTCCGTATTATCTATCGCGTTTGTACTTTTTTCGAACCCGTTTTCAGAAACAAGAAGCGAGATCGAAACTTCGGGGGATTCCCGATACTTTCCATTCATATTCGCGCTCAGTATGAGAAAACGATTGAGGAAGTGTCTGGAGGAAGATATTGGCGACAGAAATCTGCCACAGAAGTACCACACTCGTAGCAAAGAACTAAGGTTTTAACGAGGCTCAAATGATTGGCCTGTAATAATTCGGGTTACGCTAATACGTCGCTTAAGCCCAACGATCCAAGTTCCAACTGCAAGGGCAGAGAGAGCAGACAATTAACGAGAACTTGCTGAGCACTTGCTAACTTATTGGTCAATTTTGATGATCAAAGTGGAACGAAGGGGCTGGTCATGTCGATTGAACAAAACTAGGTTACTTCGCTTGAACTGCGCATACCGTGAACTGAGGGTAGTTCTAAGCGAGGTAGACGATAATGTGTTTCGTCAAAATCAATTGTTTGCATAGAACTTTGCCTGGGGTTCAGACTAGGACTTGGTGTAATGTCTGATCGGAAATTGTGTGAGGCATGGTCGCTGTTAAGGCTATATCCGAAAATTTCCACCAAATAATCGTTGCAGAGTGCAAAACCCATGGAAATCACCTTCCAGATCGGTGCTTAACTGCATTCGCAAGACATATTTAATCTGAGCTCATAAAGATCAACTGCAAAATGATTTGATGTACTATTCTACAATTCAAACAAATTATTGAGTCCTTCTTCTCGGTGAAAACGGCTTTTTGGCGCGGTGCATAACCCGCAGATCCCGACAAGAAACATTACCGCTCACCTCCTCATCCATAAGCCGACTCAAATTTTAAAGCTCAAAGTTCTTGATACCTCATTGAATCAACGAACGTGGAAGACCCTGAAATTGATAGTTGACTGACGATCGAAATTGGAAATTCGTAATAGAATCCCTAGTACAAAATTTGGGAAGCTTGATGACCGAAAGAATAAATATCCAGAACACCTTCTCTTACTCTGAAAGATTGTTTCCCTAAACGAACACAATAGCAAAATGAAAGTTTTGTTTTTATTTGATGCTAAGCGTCGTCGGTGTAGTAGAAACGTGAATATGTGAATTGTGTTGTACCGCCTTCCAAGCCATACTGCTACACGTGATCTCTGTAGAATTGATTCGCATTCGCCTTGAGTGGTATAAAATGTTTCCATCTGGTAAAGTTAACTTGTACTAAAACTTAAGAATATGTAAGTATATATCCCGAACTATTTCAAAGAATCTCAGTCTCATAAATCACACTCCAAAAAAGACCCCTTCAATTATCTCGCCTATCCTCATCCAACAACTGGGGGCGTGCAACAAACTCACCGACATGCTTAGTCATAAGTCTAACCCAACTAAAACTTCAAAGTTCAATCTTCCACCCTAAATCCCTCCAATACTCTCATCCCAAACCCCCAAAAAACATTCCTAAATCTCCAAAACAAAATCGACCAGAATGGGACTCGAACCCACAACCTTTGCCACCGGAAAGCAATGCGCTACCATTGCGCCATCTGGCCTCTCTGACTAATCAATAGAACTGGTTGTGAACACATATAAACACATTCTGTAGTGTACCCCACCGTCGGAATTTCTTCGCGCCTGAGAGACTACGACCGAATCTTGCGGCTACAGTGTACATTGCCACCCGCTGGTTTTAAATATGCATACGAATATTTGCTGCTGGGTCAAATCAGATGGGTCTGCATCTGTATGCAAGCTTCTGCTATATTATTGATCAATACGAGATATTTTCTTACTTCCTACTTGAGATTTAAATTTTCACTAGAGAAAGAGTTTTCATCGCGGGATGAACACACGTGATCTACTTAGCACATGAGCTTATTCGTACGTGAAAAAAAAGTTGCCGGAATTGAGTTCTTCAACTCTGGGTACTCTATGTTAATTCATTAGAATCATAAATCAAGCAGCAATTATATCAATAAATCCAGCTTTTGATGACTTCCGCATTTAAAGAGGGTAACATTTATATGCGCATAAAGAGTAACAATCTGATCATAAAGATCTTTCAACCTTTCAACTATGTTCATTTCCAGCCATATAGCTCGCTAATGGAGAGCCACCCTTAAATCATCGCTACACTTCTACGATAATCATCACACACATCCTCTCTCTATCTACTCTTTGCAAAAGTTTCTTTTTGCTAGAGGATTCCGTACATCCCACACTTCTATATCCCACCTCTCATAGATGGCACATGCGCTCTCCAACCCACTATCAAAACCACGAAGAACTCCACTCCACCCCACTATAAAATACATCCATCCCACTCCGATACTCCATCCATTCCATCCACTCCACCCAAAAGTACTCTCTCCACTCCCTCACCTCCTTCACCACCACCGAATCCAAACCTCCTATCCCTCCATCCCCCCTCAACACATTCTCCCCAAACCCAAGACCCCAAAAAATCATTCTCGACGTCGGCATGATTCGAACATGCGCCCCCGAAAGGAATTGATATCGTATTCTGACTTCACACCCTGAATCTATAAGAATCCAGAGAGAGATGAAGCTTAATTCGAGTCAATCACGTTAACCACTCCGTCACGACGCCTATTTGCTGACTAATTCATAAAGTAATTTTGGGCGGGTTTAGATATATATACCTAGCATTTTGACACTGGTGGAGAGGGTTGGGAAGATTGGTAATTTTCGAGGTATAAATTCTGTTCCTCTATTCCTGCTATTGTTGCGGGGGTGAATGGTGGTAGATCAATAAAAGAAACATAAGAGAAGTACATGCAAGTGAAACATGTATTTAATTGTGAAGATATTAATACATTGTATTGAACTCATCTCGTCGTTAATTTTCAAGAAATCCATACCCATCCCCTACCGACACGAACCTCATAATCTTCATCAACGGACACACTGGACAATCCCAGTGTCCATCTCTATCTATAAACATTAATACAATTTTAATTATAACCATTTTTTCATCCACAACGACATCAATACCAGCACCACACCATCAACCCTCTCTCCCCTCTAGATATCATGTCTCGCCCTCTTACTCTTCATTCTAATCTTCTCACCCCATTTATACAAAATAAACGGAATCGGTATAAACGCCACACTGATAAACGCCAGCGTGGAACTCGCCCACGGCACTCCCAAGTTCTTAAACATGGCATTCGCAAAGAGCGGGAAGCCGGCGCCGAAACACGAGCGCATGAAATCGTTGCCTGCGAATGCTGATGCTGCCACTTTGGGGTATGCATCGCCGATATAGTTGAGGACTGAGTTGAAGAGGAGGAAGGCACCGATGGAGAAAAAGGCTGAGCCGATTATGGGGACGATCCACTGGGTTGGGTTAGTTTGTTTCTAGGGAATATGAAGAGAAGGAAGAAAAGGAGAGGAAACATACATGAATACTTTCGCTACTTGTCCATCCAAACCAGAACAAGCAGATAGGAATGCAAAAAGCTCCTACAAAAGCCGGTTGCAATCTGATCTCAGGTTTGATATTGCCACTCTCATCAAACTTTGGTTCTTGGAATTTGTACAGATACAAGAAAAATGGCGGGATAACCACAAGTGATCCGACGAAAATACCTAGGAAAGCTAATCCCTCCATCCCCAAACTAAAGCCGTGAATCTCGACAAACACGATGGCGAATGATTCGAACCAAACATATAGAAGACCGTAAATGAGTGCAATGTAGAGATTGAGGCAGAAAAGAATGGGTTCTGAGAAGGTGAGTGAGAATGGGAGGATGAGCGCCATGTTAATCTTGTCTTTGGTAGTCATTTCATCGGCCTCGAGTTCTGGTTCGGATTTGAGATTATTAACACCGCTGGACTTTTCGAGACGTCGACGTCGACGATAGAGGATATTGGCGGAGCTGGTCTCAGGCAAGAGGAGGAATAAGACGATCAGTGCGAATCCTGCAGACATTATTAGTATCAGCCTATGCAGAGAAATGTACCCAGTGATCTTGATCGTCGAATGCAGACAGGACTATAACATCCAGAATGTGTCAAACTTTCAAGAAATTGATTGAACTCACCAGATAACCATGTTAATTCCCAGATAGTCCAAGTCCAACCTTTGCTTTCCGCGGCAAAACCTCCAACCAAAGGACCCAACTAAGTGTTATCAGTAATTAGAAATTTAAAGGGAGTGATGAGAAGAGACTACATACCACAGGGCCGGACACAGCAGCCATACCCCAAATTCCAATTGCGTAAGCTCTCTTTTTTGGCGCATACATATCCGCCAACGAGGCACCGCCAGTAGCCAATACCGGCGAGCCAAAGAATCCAGTCAAGAATCGGAAGATGAGCATCATGGCGAAATTTTTCGCATATATGACACCGAATTGGAAAACCACAAATACAACCAGCGTGCCAATATAAACGGGATTTCGCCCAACTTGAGGTATTTCACTCATGGGAGACCAGATCATGGGTCCCAGACCGTAGCCGGCAACGAACAGAGTGAGACCAGCTGTCGCGGCAACTTGACTGACTCCAAATTGTTGCATCACATCTGTGATGCCTGCGGAATATATGGCCGATCCAATGTAGACAGAGAAAGTCAGAAGACAAATGAGGAAAGTGACGAAGAACTTTTTTCCTGTCGACCAGTTTTGTGGGTTCTGTTGTTTAAAATTAGTCAATGTTACAAGAGTCATTTAAGACTGCAAATTTGAAGTGCATGAAGTATTTCCAAGGGCTCCAACCACATACCTCTGAATCAAGAGCTCCCTCCGTTTGATCCCAATCAATAATTTGAACATCTTTCCCTCCATTATCCGTTCTCACAGTATCTTCATTTGCCACTCTCGTTCTGTCTGAGCCTAGTGTCGTGTTTGAAGGCCTACTACCCTGCCTTTGATCTCTGGGTTGATCCGCATTATCAACTTCCTTATCTTCTTCAGAGGATTGCTCTTCTTCGGGGTCCTCGCAAGTGCCGTGATGTCTCACGTTTTGAGTCTTCTGTACATTTAAATATCTTCGCCAAGTGTCTGGATTTCCCTTTTCACTGTCTGCAAATGCGTCTTGTTCCTCTGGATATTTCAGGAATTTGTCCCCTGATAATAGACGTAAGATTTTCCCAGCCGTTGCATCTCGAAAGAGTTCCCTCATTCTAACTGTTCGATGTCAATCGAGAGAATAGAAACTATCGTTTCAAATCGATTTCGGGTCTAAAAGATATGTGAAGATTCACGAGACGAAAGGACTTTTCAACTATCAAGAATGGAGGGAGAAAGACTATCAACAGTATATCTAACAACAAGTATGTGAAAGCATGAGCAAAGAATAGGTATATATGGAGAATAGAAATAAATTATGAGGAGGCAAATACAGATATAAATGCTTCAACAGCCGGAAATATTACTTCTCCATTGAGCTTTATTCCAAATGCACTCTTCTCGGCCTTTCTCAACAGTCCATATGATATCATACTTGCTATCAATCAACGCACCAGTCTACTAGATGAATCTAGCTCCTCTTACCTCAATGTCCATACAGCGAGCGAGACCCGGCCCTTTCACGAGTGGAATCTACCCTCTTCGAATCAAACGCGAAATGTCTAAATCCGAGCCTCAAGGTGCATACCAAAAAGTCCACCACAGATACTCGAATCAGCCGTATTCCAACATCGTCCGGACATGTTTGTCCGAAAGAATAAAGCTTAACCATACCTCATTCAATCCGACAAACCAATCGACTCGATATTGATTTGTCCCATTCTCTCGATACCCATCAAATAATAGATGGGCAACATATAAGTATGCACGATGAATCAATGCCGATCATTGGAAAAGCTTAAGAAAAACCTAATCACTGACGTAGATGACTTTTTTTTCTTGTGCAAAACTCTTGATTGGCGCTAGCCAACGTCTGAGCACAGTGAGTGAATGCATCACTACCTAGTAGGCACATATGATAATTCTCCGGACTCCGCACGGGATTGCGAAATCGATGATAGATGATGATGATTAAGGTTAACGAAACTTCACAGTTTCGATTTCATCTATCTGATTTTCAATTTTCCATTCCTAAGCGTTGAGTGTCTAGATCATGTGGCTGTCATGTCAGATCTGAATCAAGACATTGATGAGAATAAGGTTAGAAGATCTACCCAAGTCAGTCGACTTTGCCAAGCGAACAATTAGTCAACACATATACCTATCAACCTCGATCAATCTATCTACCCCTCAATTCATTCAGCCCAATTTCATCAACGATACATATATATTGGCATGCGTTGCATATGTTTTAGAGATTGTCTTAGAAATTTGTTCTTTTCTTTTTCTTTTCTTCAGCTTTTGACATTAGCTTCTTCTACTAGGAGGAGGGGGCGGGATGCTTCCCCCTCCATCCAGACCCCTTCTCCTTAGTGTCAAATGGCTTCAAAATATAATACTAACACAGTATATACCTAGAATTATGAATCATTGTATAAATATGCAAAAATATGCAATATAATGCAGTAGAAACCATAACGGCACATAACAGCCTTCCGCAAAACCCTTGGCATGATGATTCTCTAGCATGGCGCGTCTTTCAAACACACAACCAATTTTTCTTTTTCTCCCCCTTCCCTCCCCTCCCGTCATCCTCCCCTTCCCTTCTATGACCTGAAGGCTGATGCCATTTGACACCCCGCCTACCCTCCCATCCTTAGCTCTCCAAATCAACACTCTAGATACCTCTTCCCATTCTTCCCTCGCACCCTCCCTAGCCCCCTAGTTCCCGCCTAACCGATCAATCTAGAACATCACCTACCTACCCTTCTTTCAATCCCCTTTAACCTACACCCCATCCCCCAGTATCCAAACTCCCCAACACTCCTGCATCCCTTCCTCTCAGCTTCGGTGGTATTCCACCCAGAATACGAACCCACAATTCCAATAATGAGCAGTACCGTCATCATCATCATCATCATTATTTCAAGAAAGCCCAAGAAACACGTCTCAACATCCATTCTCACCCCACCCCAGACATCCAGAAGTCCAGTTCACGAACCTGGATATAATGGAATCAAATTCTCAGACGAGGAAAACATCCATTTCTCTATGGAATATACGCGCGTGAAAGAAAATAACGAAAGGAAATGCTCCTGTTAATCCCTCCGAACGAAGATATGATAATACAAAGCTTGATTTCGATTCCAACACAACGAAACTAAAACGCTATTAAAGGATTATTCTGCGTGCTGACTCTCGTTGTCTGCCTACACAAAACGCATGCGTAGTAATGACCTTATCGTCTGTCTGATTCCAGCTTCTCATTCCCATTTTCTCCTCCTCTCCCCCCTTTAATTAGCCTTAACGCTCAGAATTTTCTTCCCACCCAAATCCTTCACCTTCTCTCCTAACTTTCCCGTCTCGTCCAATTCTGCCACATCATCACCACCTCCGATACTGACCCCATTAATCAACACATTGGGGACTGTTCTCCTTCCTGTAAGCTGATTCAATCTCCCTTGTAGTTTTCCTCCCAGGGGATGTTTATCTAATTCCACCACGTATGGGAGCGGATCGATTGTGTACTTTTCGAGGAGGATATCCTTTGCGCGCTTAGAGTGCGGACAGTAAGATTTGGAGAAAATGATTACTATTCGAGTAGTTAGTTAATTTTGTTCTCTAATATGAAGAACAGACTCTGTAGAATATAATAGAAATGCAAATGATTAGAACAGAAAAGGGAAAACTAACTCGGCGATTTCTTCAAAATAGTATTCAATTCCGTCGTGACCTCCATATCTTCTTCTTCCACCTCCTTCTCCCCCTCTTTAACAACTTCTTGCGCCTTATCACTCATCTTCTTCCGTCCAGCAACACTCCTCTCCCCACCCTGTCCCTCTGCCGCATTTCCCTTCCCCACAACTTGCGATGGTGGGTCAGGTTTAAACGCTTTCGCATTCGCATTATCTTTTGCTTTATCCGCCGCATCTTTTAATCTTTGTTGCATTTCTTTTGCTACTTTCTCATCTTCGTCGTTTCGGCTTCCTGCAGCTGCCACCTCTTGCTTTCCCAATCCATTCATGGTCTTGCTGTAGAAATCTCCGGAGTCGGATTTGACGAGATTGCGCTGTTGACGAAGAGAGGAAGTATAGAAGAGGAGGGATATGACGGCGATGAAGACGAAAAGGCCGAAGACTTTCACACGTCGCATGGAAGCCATTTTGGTGGGCTTTTCCTTGTAGTAAGGAGGATCTGTTGGGGTGGGTAGAAGTGGTTAGTTGTTGGTACTTACTCGTAGGGAATTGAGAGACGAAGAGAGAAACTCACTAGCTGCGTAGTACTTTCCCATTTCTACTGCGAATGCTGTGCTGGACGTTTATCGTAATTTGCGCGATAGTGGTGGTACGTTGGGGCTTGCGAGTTTTTGCAAACTTGCTTGCTTCCAGTTCCTTTACCCGTTGACCCTTTCCTCCTTTAACCAGGAGCACTGCAGATTCTGCAAGTTTTCGCAACGGCGCACGAGGTAATTGTTTCGTATGGATTTCAAACCGCTCAGGTCTGCAATAAATCGTCTTAAGAAACCACCTGTCAACCCCAATGCCAATGCCAATGCCAGTCGCAATCAATCCCAATAGATATGTCGATAATCCGAATCCTTCACACCACGTATCGTTTCGTCCTCTCGTTTCCACAAATAAATTGTGACTTAATAATTATCTGCTCGCGTCGTAGGCAATTATTATCGTTTTGGTGTACCACTTGTCCCTAGCTAGTCGATAGATTGATTATCGAAGATCCAATATTTCCCGTTTCAAGCTTCGCTCCACTAGTTAGTTGGTTGCGTTGCTCCCTGGATAGATTGTGATCCCTCCCTAAACCTTATCATGTATCAAACTTCACAATTGGATGCGACTTTCCACCCACGTTTTAATCTCGCAGACTCTCAAGAAAGATACAAGTCAAGAGTCATGATTGTGGTAGAAGAACCAGAGGTCACACGATGCTCATATCTCACACCTCTTTACATAGGTACCTAGTACACCCGACTAGACTCATCCTTCCACCTCTGAGGTTCTCTGCAGATGCCCATAATTCGTGGCATTCAAAATCACGAATCAAAATCCAATCTCCATTCCACCCGAGTTGATATTCAATAAACCGTTTTTATCCATTGGTGTTCTAAAAGAAGTTCTATCCCCCGCCGCTTTTCCTCTGATATCTCCCTGGTCGGGTACAAAGGTACGAAGGGTCATGTACCCCTGGCTAATGAAGATCTAGCGGGCCTTAATTCGCATTTAGCTCTCGAATGTCATCGGCAAACATGGAAGCACGGTTTCGAGTTAACAAGACCAGCATGATTGACAGGAAGCCTTTTGGGTGTATGGAACAAAATATAGAACAAAACCATTGAGATCATCTCGTTTCACAAGTATTTGAAAATATGAAGGGGAACCCCACTGATCACCAAGATCCACCGCCGTCAAGCTTCTAGAAGATCTGAACCCCGTCTTGAGTCCGTCTCTTGACATCCGATACATTCTTTGACAGGCATCGGCAATGTCAAATTAATGCATATTTCATTTCTGCGTTCTACAAGTGTTTGCATTTGCAATCCGTATCCTTGAAGTGTGTCATCTATTATATTCTTATTATGGATTAAGCTAAGTATTTAAAGGGCGTATTACATAGATAGGTATGTATGGTAATCGTACAAGTCATAACAAAAGAAAAACCACTCCCGCTGACCATCTCGTTCCACGAATAACTTTGACAAAGGAAAGTATACCTGTATGTATCAATCGTCTAGCGCCATCCAACTTTTATCCTCGCTGGGTATATCCCCTTAATCAATCATAATATGCCACTCCAAAAGCATACATACCACCCAATAATCCCTCATCTAAAAGCACCCACACTCGCTCTTTCTCTCAAAGCTCTTTTCCCTCCATCACCTTTCATAGACCCCGTGATCTCAATCCAATCCTCCCATTCTCGTGCGATTTCCATGAGGACACCACCCATTACAGTAGCCGAGGCCATTAACCCATGTCCCTCTCCTTCCAAGACTCTTACTTCACATCTTTTCATTGTTTTGCCCAACCATCGGACATTTTCAACAGGGACTCTCGTATCTTTACTTCCATGATGAATGACTGTCGAACGTGTGATATCTACATAACGAAATCCAATAGTATGCCTTCTCTCCAAGCATACCAGTAAATCCACAGCGGGGTTTGCGCCGACAGTTGCTAGATCCCATATAGCATGCGTCAAACGTGTATCATAGGTCATTTGTCTTTCTTTGTCGGCTAATGTACTCGCAGCCACTGCTAATATTGCGGCATCATGATTCGGATCATTCGGATCTGATGCTGCTTGCTCCATTGATTCCGGTACAGTAGATTCTGGTCTTCTCGAAGGATCAAACTTTTGATTCTCCTTATCCAGACCTGGGGTAAGTACGTTGGTCCTGCCACTCGGTGTCGGAGTATCTCGAGTGGTGGATGCTGACTTGCGCTTAGTTCTCTTTTGTTTTGGAAGACTGCTTGTAACCGAGCTACTGGTGGCACTCATGAAACTAGAATTTGCAACCTTGAGAATTGTGGTCGGAAGAGCGCGAAGTATACGCTGAGATGTAGGTATAGAGTTCGCTGGTGGCGAGACTGTCTGTGTACCAAATGTTGTCAACTGTGAAGGGGGAATCCAAGGGGCAAGAAGATGAATGCGACCGCGAATATGCTGTGGCATACGCAATGCTGTTGCAAGAGCATATATTGCACCTGCTGAATGTGCGAGTATGGAGAATTTTGTTATCCTCAAAGCTTGACATATTGCGTATACATCATCTATATCATGTTAGCTTCAGGAAAGACGACAAAAGTCTTAAAAAAACTTACCAGGCCAGCTCAGTGGAGTCGCTGTGCCATCAGTATATGGCTCACTTTGTCCAACCCCTGGTCTATCCGGTGTGATCAGTCGTAACTTCAGCGCTAGGGCAAGCTCATCGTAAAAAGCGGTGATATATCTTGTCAGACCCATCCCAACGCAACAGAACACTGCTGAGCCCTCAGGATCGCCTACTTCTGAGAATGAAATAGTTCGACCGCTTGTAGGGTGTCTGATTTTTTGTGACAAGCGTGGAGATGCAAGATAAGTTGTAACTGCATCATCGATAGAATCTGCACTACTAGGACGAGGATCAACAAACACAGAAGCAGGTCTCGCTTGTTCGGGAGAAACAACTCTAGAGCTAGGTCTAGAGGGGTTCTTTTTAGAGGTATCATAGTCCGAATTGGCAGGACTTAGCGGTCCGGATAATCGCTTGAGTCGTGAACTACTTCGTTTTACCTTTAGCTCTGGCGGTTCAGGTGACATCCCACCAGATTGTCTTTTCTGACTAGATGATCTCTTATTTTTGGTAGGGCTTGGATTGGTTTGTGATCTTCGTTGAGTAATAACAGGTGCAGGAGCACAATCAAGATCTTCCTCAACGACCGGATGCTCATTCTTCTGTGCAAAATCCTCATGTTGTTTGCTGACTGGCGTTGTAGATATGGATGAAGGGGGTTGGAACACCTCAGTAGGCACCTTCAGATTTGTGGATTCCCCAGATTCAGAGCTTGCCCTGCTCTGAGCTTCGTCATGCTCGTTAATGATATCCTTCTCCCTTTCACGATCCATATCACTTTTTCTACTTGCTAACTTTGAATCGCGTTTCTTCGTTTGAGCCGCCGGTTTTCGAAGAGATGAATCTCGTGCAGGTATAAATCTACCTGATCCAATTCCGCCGGGACTATTCGCCAGCGATGGAGACCAACGGCGAGGAATTGGGGGTGTTTTTGTAGTGTCGAGTGTGAGAATGGGGTGTTTGCCTAATGAGGGAGGTTCCTCAGTGATGGGAGTTTCAGCCATGAAAGTTGGTTGATCAAAATTAGGCATGGCCTGACGATCAAGCCCAAGGCCTTTGAAATTTCGTGTCTTTTCCGATGCGTTTTCTCTGAGTCTTTCTTTTGAACTCATATACATCAGACCTTTATTATTTCTACCCTGTTTTTTATCCCAACTATCCGTTGACCTTTTCCTTTCCAATTTCTGTATCGGAGCGTAGCCCGGCTCTATTGATAAACTCCCGATTGTGCTCGAATCATCTTTTTCTTTTGATCCTTGTGAACCTTTCGAACCCGGTCGGCGCAGAAAGTTTTTAAGGGAGTTGGATCTAGAATCTGTCGCTGGTGATTTTGGTGCGGTTAACGGAGAGAATCCTGATGGAGGTTTCGAAGTTTTAACAACAGGAGGGCTGGCAGCCAATTCATCGAGCGACTCTTCCTCAATAAGTTCGCGCAATGAAGGTTGCCTGAATGCTCCGTAATCTATGCCAAAACTTCCTCCCGAACTTGTCCTAGTATATGATGGTCGTAAATCTGGATGGGAGAAGGAGCTCGTCGACGCAGATGGTGAAACCGAATGTGAGTGATTCTCGAAAAGATCGTTCGCGGGAGAGGATATGATGGAGAGAGATGTAATCAAGGAAGATATAACCTCTGGCGATGCAGGTTGTACAGATATGCGATTTGAGGAATGCGCCGAAGGACCTGATAGAGATTTTCGACGGGAATGTTGTCGTGAACGATATGGTATTGGTGGGGGAGTCTCCATGGCGCTCTGTGTAAGGATCGGACGTACTCGCGCCTACTATAGATGATCGGTAGGTTTAGGATGATTTAGAATGGTTTTGATACAAGCATTGACACCATACACCACCTTCAAAACCACAAAGAATTGAAAGAATGTTTCAAAGATCCCAATTTTGTTTAAATGCGAGAGAAGATTTGGGTTGGTGCAAAAAATGGGTGAGACTCTGTTCGCAGTGGCTGATTGCTAGCAAAATTAAGTAGATGGTCCGAGAATGTAGAGTAAATGAAAGTAGAAGAATGAATGTTGATCTCTCTGGACGAAGACGTTGAGAAACTTTGGTCAATTAATACTCCAGAAATCTTTCAGCAAAGGTTACCACATCAAAGCATGTACCCAAAGGATCCAAGCAGTCAATGTGCGAACTCCTTTGAAGTTATACTATGAGACATACGAGATCCATTTGAACTTGCTGTTGCTGTTGCTATTGCTGTTGCTATTGTCGTTGCCGTCGCCGATTCCAAAAGCTTTGAACAGAAATCAAAAAGCCCCTCGGCTTCAATCAATCAATCAATCAATCGAAACTTCTTCCAACGAAGGACTCGAGTCGAACGATTTTATTAGTGAATTGTCGAAAGCCCCATAGTTTAGGTTCAGGGGCATTCAATGCTTATCGTCTTTTTTCCCAAAAAGTTGACTATGCGCGGGGGAACGTCC